CCGCGCGGAGATATGACGTTCCAAAACGACATAACTCCGCGCGAAGATATGACGTTCCAAAACGACATAACTCCGCGCGAAGATATGACGTTCCAAAACGACATAGCTCCCCGCGGAGATATGACGTTCCAAAACGACATAACTCCCCACGGAAATATGACGTTCCAAAACGACATAACTCCGCGCGGAGTCATGACATTCCAAAACGACATAGCTCCGCGTGGAGATATGACGTTCTAAAACGACATAACTCCCCGCGGAGATATGACGTTCCAAAACGACATAACTCCCCGCGGAGATATGACGTTCCAAAACGACATAGCTCCCCGCGGAGATATGACGTTCCAAAACGACATAGCTCCCCGCGGAGATATGACGTTCCAAAACGACATAACTCCGCGCGAAGATATGACGTTCCAAAACGACATAGCTCCCCGCGGAGATATGACGTTCCAAAACGACATAACTCCCCGCGGAGACATGACGTTCCAAAACGACATAACTCCGCGCGGAGACATGACATTCCAAAACGACATAGCTCCGCGTGGAGATATGACGTTCTAAAACGACATAACTCCCCGCGGAGATATGACGCTCCAAAACGACATAACTCCCCGCGGAGATATGACGTCCCAAAACGACATAACTCCGCGCGGAAATATGACGTTCCAAAACGACATAGCTCAACGCGGAGATATGACGCTCCAAAACGACATAGCTCCCCGCGGAGATATGACATTCCAAAACGACAAAGCTCCCCGCGGAGATATGACATTCCAAAACGACATAACTCTGCGCGAAGACATGACATTCCAAAACGACATAACTCCGCGCGGAGATATGACGTTCCAAAACGACATAGCTCCCCGCGGAGATATGACGTTCCAAAACGACATAACTCCAGGCGGAGATATGACCTTCCAAAACGACATAGCTCAACGCGGAGATATGACGTTCCAAAACGACATAACTCCCCGCGGAGATATGACGTTCCAAAACGACATAACTCCCCGCGGAGATATGACTTTCTAAAACGACATAACTCCCCGCAGAGATATGACGTTCCAAAACGACATAGCTCCCAGCGGAGATATGACGTTCCAAAACGACATAGCTCCGCGTAGAGATATAACGTTCCAAAACGACATAGCTCCCCGCGGAGATATGACATTCCAAAATGACATAGCTCCGCGCGAAGATATGACATTTCAAGACGACATAACTCCGCGCGGTGATATGACGTTCCAAAATGACATAACTCCGCGCGGAAATATGACTTTCCAAAACGACATAACTCCGCGCGGAGATATGACGTTCCAAAACGACATAGCTCCCCGCGGAGATATGACGTTCCAAAACGACATAGCTCCCCGCGGAGATATGACGTTCCAAAACGACATAGCTCAACGCGGAGATATGACGTTCCAAAACGACATAACTCCCCGCGGAGATATGACGTTCCTAAACGACATAACTCCGCGCGGAGATATGACGTTCCAAAACGACATAACTCCGCGCGAAGATATGACGTTCTAAAACGACATAACTCCGCGTGGAGATATGACGTTCTAAAACGACATAACTCCGCGCGGATATATGACGTTTCAAAGCGACATAACTCCGCGCGGAGACATGACATTCCAAAACGACATAGCTCCACGTGGAGATATGACGTTCTAAAACGACATAAATCCCCGCGGAGATATGACGTTCCAAAACGACGTAGCTCCCCGCGGAGATATGACGTCCCAAAACGACATAGCTACCCGCGGAGATATGACGTTCCAAAACGACATAACACCGCAAGGAGATATGACGTTCTAAAACGACATAACTCCCCGCGGAGATATGACGTTCCGAAACGACATAACTCCCCGCGGAGATATGACGTTCCAAAACGACATAACTCCGCAAGGAGATATGACGTTCCAAAACGACATAACCCCGCAAGGAGATATGACGTTCCAAAACGACATACCTCCCCGCGGAGATATGACGTTCCAAAACGACATAACCCCGCAAGGAGATATGACGTTCTAAAACGACAAAACTCCCCGCGGAAATATGACATTCCAAAACGACATAGCTCCGCGTGGAGATATGACGTTCTAAAACGACATAACTCCCCGCGAAGATATGACGTTCCTAAACGACATAACTCCCCGCGGAGATATGACGTTCCAAAACGACATACCTCCCCGCGGAGATATGACGTTCCAAAACGACATAACTCCCCGCGAAGATATGACGTTCTAAAACGACATAACTCCGCGCGGATATATGACGTTCCAAAACGACATAACTCCCCACGGAGATATGACGTTCCAAAACGACATAGCTCAACGCGGAGATATGACGTTCCAAAACGACATATCTCCCCGCGGAGATATGACGATCCAAAACGACATAACTCCGCGCGGAGATATGACGTTCCAAAACGACATAATTCCGCGCGAAGATATGACGTTCCAAAACGACATAACTCCCCGCGGAGATATGACGTTCCAAAACGACATAACTCCGCGCTCGTAAAGTCAACCTTTTCGATGATATTTTGGATTATTTCCTCCAAATAATGTCCGGTTTTGCAATTTCATACCATTTTTGACTTGTAAGGATCAGTTCTATCGATTGGCATCAAAAAAAAAAAAATACAAAATTTTGACCGAAATCGACGAAATGGCAAGGGGTAACATCACGATTGTTTTTGAAAATCGAGGTCGGTGCGAAAATCGAAACTTTTTTGATGATTTTTTTTTAATATCTCGGGAAATAGCTCCGCGCGGAGATATGACGTTCCAAAACGACATAACTCCGCGCGGAAATATGACGTTCCGAAACGACAAAACTCCCCGCGGAGATATGACGTTCCAAAACGACATAACTCCGCGCGGAGGGGATGTAGGTGCTCCTAGTGCCTGCGCAGATCGAGTTTGTTTCCGATAATCGATAGCTTACCCCGTTTCCAAGCAATCGATAAAAATCGATATCGATATCCTGTTTTTTGTTCAATATTGGATTTGCATTTGATGTTGGAAGAAGAGGGTTCAGGGTATACCCTAGTCGGGAGCTCCCGACTAGAACCTCTTACTTGTTTAATAATACATTTATTTAATTAAAATCCAGCACTAACCATAATCAATCCCTGCAGGTCACATGCCGCAGAGCAGCGATTTGATCCAGCTGCTGACCAGGCTGCAAAACGATCCGGAACAGTTCGAAGCCAAGCAGAAGCTCATCGATTTTTTCATCTCGTGCAACACATTGAAGTCTCTGCAGGATTGCTATCGCGAGACCTTTGAGTACTTTAAGCCGCTGTTCGGCTACATTATTACCAAGGATCTGGTGGAGGGTAGCTCGCACGAGTTGCGCGAATTCCGGGAGCTAATCCAACGTTTCGTGGAGCGCAGCAAATCCGTCTTTGGCACGGATGCACATCCTCTGCGCAACCGGCTGCAAACGTACAAGGAGAAGTTCGCCTCGCCGAAAATCTACTTTTATGCGGGCGATCTTAACCGGGAGTACGCCGGCCTGCGCATCTATCGGGAGAGCTACGAGCACAATTTGCGTAATCTGGAGCAGCATCGGAAGCGCAACTCCACCTATGAACTGGGCGTGCAGCGGACGATGCTCGACTGGAGCCTGTATCTCTACCAGAGCCGGCACAAGCCGATGTCGTACTATTATCCCACATTCACGGTGCATCTGTACATGACCATGTTCAATATAAGCGAACGCCAACGGGATCCGACCCACTTTCGGGAGGAGGTCGAGTGCCTCAAGCTGCCGCAGTACGTCAATGTGCTCAGCGAGGCCCGATTGCTGGCCATCATCTACCTGAAGAGCTTCCGGCACACCTGGCAGGAGTACTCCGACTGGATACAGTCCTCGACCAAGCATCGAGAGATCTACGACCACGAGAACGAGATCCTTCGCCAATACCAGCTGAGCAACAAGCGCCTCTTCTTCACGCTCTACGCCCAGAACTTCTGTGAGTTTGGCAAGGAACTGGCGGAACATGTCTTTTACCTGGGCCTCAAGGAGAACGCCGACTTCTTCAATACCTACTCGTGCGGCTATCAGACAGATACGGCTCGGAGCTGTGTCTAAATTCCAACTAGTTGTAGTTCAAACTGTAAGCCAAGCTAAAATAATCAATAAAAGTACACAGGTCGACTAGCAGATACCCTTTACTGAGTTTTAAAGTGCTGCAAAACAGTTAAATATTATCTTATTTTTAATATTTTTGACATAGGTCAAAATTTCCCACCCCCAATCGATTTTCATAAGGTTTTGTTTTTTTGTTTACTTATTTGATAAATAATAAAAAATTTGTCAAATGCGTAAGAGCTATGATGCCGAAATATTATATATAAATGCATGCATGCATGTAAGTATGTACGCATGTAAGAAAGTATGTATATATGCATGCTTCCATGCATGTAAGTATGTATGCATGTGTGTAGGCAGTGTATATATATCTATATTATGCATGTATTTATATAAATGATTGTATGCATTATGTATGTTTATATGCATTAATTAATAAACTTCTAACTGCCCTGCAATTTAAAAAGACTATTTTTATCTAATCGCCTTCTACGCGATTCTCATGAATTCAAGTAAGTCTGAAAGGCTTCACTTTAAGTAGAGGAGGCGGTTGCTTTGAGCAAAGGAGGATGCGGCTGCATTAACAATGAAGGAGCTGTCTTCAAATTAGAAGAAGGTGGTGGCTTTCATATTGGAGGATACGGCGGCTTTAACATTGGAAGAGAAAGCAACTTAAGCAAAGAAGAAGGCGGCGGTCTCAACTATGAGACTTAAAATTTTGGAGGAGGCGATTTCAACGATGTAAGAAGCGGTATGAAAATACTATGGCTTTGAAAATACTGGTATGTAGTATGCCCCATTTCATCATCTTTATCAGATCAGGATAGGCCTCAGATAATGTACTTTTCAACATCTTTTTCAGGATAGGGTATAGATAAAGTACTCTTCGATTTTTTTTATACAATTTAATAACTAATGAGCAGATTTTACTTTATAAAATCTAGTTCCAACTTTTTTCAGTATACCCATTTGTAAGCTGACTTTGGCAGGGTATAGCAAGTGCTTAGCCCCTAAGATTATGCTCATTAGTGTCTCCTCCAAAAGAAACGCTTTATCCTATTAGACGGCCGCGTGCACTTAATCCTTTTGCGGTTGCGTGTTGGCCACAGTTATTGCCGCCTTCTCCCGTCGAAACCTGTGCACCTGGTCGAAGTAATCCCCGGCTTGTTGCCGGCGATAAAGTTTGGCCAAATCGCTGCAACTTTTGCCGAGAGCGTCCCGAGCTGTTAAGTCGGCGCCGTGGGTAACCAGCAGCTTGATAAGCTCCAGGCTGGCATCCATGACGACTGCCAGGGGAAGGAGATGTAAACGGAAGGGAGAGGGGTTATTCCAATTGGGAAATTCTATTTAGTTCTGTGCAGTCACCTGCGCGCATCAGCAGCGTCCACTGGCAGGCGTCTCTCGCCTCCGGATTGGCGCCCGCTTCCAGTGCGAACCTGACCATGTCCAGCCGATTGGCATCCACGGCACAGTGGGCGGGCGTCATCCCGTTGCAGTCGGTCGCCTCCAGCTGGGCCCTTTTGTTCAGTAGAATGCGCGCTGCGGGCAGATGACCATGATAGAAGGCCAGCTGCAACGGATCAGGCACACAGATAGCATCCCCGCAATCCCAAATGCTGGCCAACTCACGTGCAGCGGGCTGCGTCCGTTGTGCGGATTGCCCAGCTGGACACTGCAGCCCGCCGAGAGCAGGACATCGATGATGCACATCTCGCCCTGCATTATGGCATTGGCTAGGGGCAGATATCCATTTGGGGCCGGATAGTCAACCAGACTGGGTCGACGGCGCAGCATGCGCTTCACTAGAAACTGCTGCGATTTGCGAATGGCGCGATGCAAACAATTTGTCGACGGCAGCGCAGCCTCTGTGGTTGCCTAGATGTGTACAAGGTATATATTATATTTTTATATCAAATTTAATATCACAGAATAAGAAACGATACCCCAAGAACGGACCATAAGTAGTCCACAACTATTCTAACTCCCTCTGCAAAAAGGGACTATATGACTAAAGTAATTTTTGTAGCCAATTCTATTGGACACACTTGTTATATTTTTTGTCAATCCAAAATTAATATTATATGCTTCAAATTCTACCCTAAAGTCAAGTCAAATCTGAAGACAAGTCAAATCAAACCAATTATGCTTCTGAACATATTTATATGCATTAGACATAATAAGCCACATCATTTCATGGCTATAGGGCATATCCAAAATTAATTTAAATAAATTAAATTTATATCTTTATGTATGTGTATGTGTTTATAAGTGCCTGTAGGTGTATATATATATATGCATACTAATTTTACATTTAAATAATAATTTTCTTTATTAAAATATCGCTCTTCTATACGATTCTCATGAACTCAAGTGAGGCTTAGAGGCACATAATAAGCCGTCTGTCTCTCTATCTCCCTCTCGATGTCTCTCTCTCTCTCCCACGATTTTTCTCTCTCTCTCTCTCCTGCTCTCCTCCCCCCTCTCCCTCGCCCTTCTCCTCGCACTCTCTGTGCCATAGCTCCTACTCTCATTACAACGCTACTTTCTTTCTCTTAGATATTTCAATTACCCTCGACTGCACTGACTACGCTCTCGAATATACCCCACCAAATCTCTGTCATAAATCGAGGATATTTTAAACACAATTAGGGCAATAAACGTTTTACAATAATATCCGGCGAGATGGCCAACGTCTCGTAGTGGCTGCCATCCGGTGCGGGCCGCAGCGCTCGGATGCGCAGTCGATGGCCAAAGTTCTCCTCCAGCTGGTGGATAGTTTGCGGACTGGAGCTCGTCCAGAGCACCTGCTGCCAGCCGTGTCGCCTGTGGTACTTCTCCACAGAGTAGACTGAGGCGGGATTAGGGCTGGGCGTCCAGTCGAGGCAGACGCTGTGCACCGTCTGCTTCAGAAGGCGCGCCTCAAAGTTTGGCCAGGCGGCGGCGGGCGGCGGATTCGATGACATCGATTGGCTTGCAATTTCATTGTTCTGATTGTTGTTTATATTTTCGGACATGCTGCAAGCCGTATATACACATTTGGCCAATTTGCCAGTCTTATTGGTTTCGGCCACACACCGACTGAGCCGGGCTGAGCTCTGAGCTCTGATTCCTATTCCCAATACCATTTCCCATTTCCCAGGCAACGACAACAACCTCGGCATTGGCTTTGTCAATTTCACTTTTCCCGCTCCCGCTCAGCTTTTTGCCCTCGTTTTGTACACTTGCAAAGGGCATTCTCAATTTTTGCACTTAATATGTAACGCAAGGAATGAGATATTTGCGATCTATATTCTTGATAGATAGATAAGTATTTGTATATAGTTCGGTTTCTTAGATAATTTGAAGTTAAACTAATTATCTTTTCTCTTATTTTTTTTCAATGCTTTAAGGGCAGCTTGTTGTTGAGCTAAGGGTATTTGCTAGTCGTGAATTGTCGGCAGGCACTAGAGCACTCTGGCTAGATTGTTTTTTTTTGTTAAATCAATAAATTGTTGCAACATTGCTGCCTGTTGGCCGTTGCCTGTTGGCTGTTGATTGCTTGTCCTGGCGCCCGTTTCGCTGTCCACAGCAGGACCCTATTGTACGGCCGTGTTGGCTGCGGGCATGTCGGGGAAAGGGGAGAAGAGGGGTGGGGCTTGGTCAGCCCAGATGTACGTAGTTTTTGATCAACTCAAACTGAAACTGAAACTTTGCTGTGTATTATATCAATGTGCAACTCTGTGAGTGTGTGTGTGTGTGTGTGTGTGTGTGTGTGTGTGTGTGTGTGTGGCAGCTTACTTACTTAACGACCCTTTGACACACTCTGCAAGTTTTGTGGGCGGGGCGTGGGCTGGCAGGGGCTGGGGCGGGGCGTTTATCTGTCGCGCGCATTGTGCCAACTCATCGACCACTACAAAATTACAGACTCAAAGGCAGCGAGGGTGGTGGGGTTGGAGCGGAGAGAGGGGAACTGAAGAGATATCGTACTTGTAGCTTGGATGACATGGCAAACACAAAAGCTATCGCATACAGCCTGCCACACACACACACACACGCACACACACACACACAGGCTGGCAGGCATGCAAAAAAAATTATCATTTGTCAAAATCACAACATGAAACCGTTTTAAATTAAGCCACTCCGCCGTGTACCACAGCCACGCCCCCCCGCCCTAAGCTACCCAGTCAACCAGGACTAACCGCCCCCGCCCCTGTGCTGGTTTGTGCTTTTGCCACCAAAAACATGACATTGTCTGCGAGTGAAGTGAAGTTTAGTTGTCATCTTTGGCGGCGGCAGCGGCTGCTCTTGAATTCACATTGATTGACGACGACCGCAAATGGACCTCCCCACACAGCCCCACATCAGCTCAGTGGGTAGGGGGAGGATACGCTGTCAGCTTGTATTAAATATCAGGGCTGTCAGCGGGATGAGGGTAAATTAACTTGATCATTTCGAATGGCATTTTGCCTATAGCAATGAATGGAATCAATTTGCGGGCCAAGTGCGATTGCTCCATTGCATTTTCCATTTTTCCATTGGCTTCCGATTTCAAAGCAAACAATTATCGAGATACAAAACAAAACATGAAAATGGGCACATCAAAATCGTGCTGAAATCGACTCAAAAGCAGCCGCACAGCACTGAGGTAAGTGTATTTAAGTAAAACATTTAATTACCTCGCTGAACAAGAGTCTCATTTCGTAATTCAACACTGAACGAAGCAGGTTGTGCGCATTAATCAACACTTAAAAGTGTTGGTAGAGCGGATTTTAGGTAAACGAACTTTAAAATGGACTCACAGCAAGAAGAGCTAAATTTATTTTGCATTTCTCAACAGACAATAAAAAGTAACTTTGATTTTCTTTGATGATATTTTCATTATTGTGCCTTTTTATGAAATTTGATTTGTCTGAGCAGAACATTTTAAAAGTACATTTATTTACATGTTAAATTATAAGCAAACTTCTCATATTGTAGGCCCCTGGTGTAATTAGCTCGCCTGACAAGAGTCTCATTTTGTAATTCAACACTGAACGTTGCGCGCTTTGCGCATTAATCAACACTTAAAAATGGCCATACTTTGCTTAAAGTGGATTTTAGGCAAACGAACTTTAAGAGAAGTCATCAAAATGTGCGGACAGCAATAAAAGCACAATTTATTTTGCATTTTTCCACAGACAAATAAAAGAAAATGTATTTTCTTTGATGGTATTTTCATTATTAGAACTTTTCATGAAATTGCTTCTATGTCAAATTGGATTTCTCTGAGAGCTAAATTATAAAAGCATATTAATCATAAAATTCATTAATATGTTCAATAAAATATTCTTAAAATCTTAATGATTGGATGTGAAATTGGGCTTCGATGGGCGAGAACTTGGCTCGGCCAAGAAAACTCGGCTGGGTAAGAAATGGAAGAAAACATGGTCCGGGCAAAGCCGGGTAATATCCGCTATTTGTATAAAATAATCAATCATTTGTGGACTACTTAAGAGTATTAGTGCATCGGTCATTCAAAATAATATTTATGCTCGATGGTTGCCAGGGGACAAGAGGCTCCAGGGATAAGAGGCATCAGCCGTGGAAGCGGCAGTAACAGTTACAGCTACAGTGGAAGCAGCAGTAGAAGGAGCTGTGGGAGGTCCTTCTCCCAGCAGTCATTAAGGCATCCGACAGAGCCGAAAACTGCTGGCACGCGCCAAATGTAGCCAATTTGCTTGGGCGTCACGGAAGAGGCGGCTAAAGGCAATGCCAGAAGCAATCATAACAAAACCAATAGACGTGCAAATTGTGGGCGACAGGACGGGGGGAGGGGGAGCGGTGGCGGGGTCAGGTGAGAAAAGAATAACGAAGGAAACCCGCTAAAGACAGGTGGCATAAAACGTAATGGGTTTGATTTTAATCTAAATAATGGGCTTTATGCCGCGCGCTGACGTACATGGCTTAATTAAATAATTTATATAAATTACCTATACGCCTCTTACACGCACACACACACACATACACACAGGTACACATACGCAGGCAGCTATATATGTGTGACAAAGCGCGCGCGCGTTCTCGCCAAAATTCTATGCCAGCATGTGTGCGTGCGTGTGTGCGTACGTGTGAGGCGGTGTTGCCACCTCGCTTGTAAAAATTACATTCCTTTTTTTGAGGGGTAAGGGAGGGCTTAGCAAGACAACCAGGCCTTAGTCTGTTTTATCAGTGTACGCTCGACAACATCCGGTGTGTGTGTGCTAAAAATTTACAAGCGGAACAGCGCCAATAAAAAAGCCAAAAGATAAACAACAACAACAACAACAAGAGGAAGAAGAACAACACACATGCACACGTCGCCGGTTGCCATTTCCGTGGATTCGCTAATCGGCCAACAATTTGCCCGTGTGTAAGCAGCTGCCAGTTACATTTAAAGATTAATTTAACAGTTAACATTTATCTTATTGTCGCATTGCTGCACTATCAGCCCATATTTTTTTTTTTTTTGGCTAGCCAATTTGCAGGCAGCAAGCTTTTTTCCGGCCAGAGCTTTCGTTTGGGGTCAACTGTCAAAACTGACAGTGGGCGGCCAAATTGAGAGCCACTCGATAGGCGCTCTCGTTCTGGCACGCGCACTTCCGCTGCCAGCTGGCTCTGTCGCACGCCCGCTCTCTCTCTCTCTCTATCAATCGCTCTCTTGCTAGTTTGGCGCTCTTTGCATGTTTGCGTTTGCATAGGATAACAGTTATTTGGCATTTTCGTTGTAGTTTGGCTCGAGAAGAAGAAAAAAAAAAAAAAGAAGCGTGTTTGTTTTCTGTGTATGCCAGTGGCAAAACGGATTTGTTGTTGTTGTTCTTTCGCCGCGAGCAGAGCAAAGTGAAAAATACAACAGAGAATTTGTTGTTGTTGTTTTGTAGTGCGTTTAACGGTGCCTTCAACGGTTGTAGGTAAGCTGCTGCTGCTGCTGCCAGAAGCGAGTCCCGTTGCGACTCATCAATATAAAAGCAAGTGCAGACATTTTTCAACATTTCCCTTTCGCTATTACAAAAAAAAAAAACAAAAAACAAAAATAAATAAAGCGAGCATTAAAAACAAAGTAACCGACGTCGCCGTTGCCCACGCATTACCCAAGGGAAACGCAATTCGCCTGTGGCCAGAACGTGACATTCATCTCAAGCAGAAAAGTAGCGCAGGTAGCGGCCCGCGGGGGACGCGACGGGTTGTGGGCGGGCGGTCGGTAATAAGCAATTTGTGGCGAGGCAAAAAAGAAATAATCGAAGTATAAATGAAAGAAAATATAACTGATTACTATATAAAGCAGAGACACACACACACACACAGAGAGAGACTATAATTGATAAAGTGCAGAACAATAAAGTCGAGCATTTGTTGGATTTATATCACACTAATTAGAATTCTTGCCAGAGACAGGCTGTGGCCCTTAAGGCAATTGATGCACTTGGCTAAATGCTGACCACAGCCGAGCCGGACGTGGCAAAGAACTTTGCAATTTCCTCCATTCAAGCTGTGCGCTTCCGTTGAGCCACACAAAGTTAGACACATGCGTGTGTGTGTGTGTGTGTGTGTGTGTGTGTGTGTGTTAATGGCAAGTGACAGGCGAACAAAGGCGCAGGCAAAAGCGGGCATAACTCTTTAGCAGCTGTGCCATATGCTGGGCTTATCAGCGCCAGTTGGGGACAACGTTTTCTTTCACTTCATTTTTTTTGTTTTTTTTTTTGGGGTGGCCATTATCTCAACAACAACAAATCAATAAAGCATAATGTGGCCATATGCAGTGCTTAGCGTAAAACTTGGCAAATCGTCGCGGACTCTCCATTTGCGTGGCGCAGGCGCCGGGCGCAAATAAGTAGGCAACGCTTTTTATTTCAAAGTCAAAAAGTCAAGAGAGAGCGAGAGCGAGAGTGAGCGAGAGAGAGGGAGCAAAAAAAATTATGTAATAGAAATAGAAGTAGACGAACGCGACGGCAAATAAATATATTATTAGTTAAAAAGCCAAAAGCTATTATGTACGCACGCACACACGCACACAGTCACACGCAGACACACACACACACACACACACACACTTTCAGCTAGCCGATTGAAGTTGAGCCGACTCGAAGAGCACGCTGCGCCCATGCCGCAGCCTATGCGTTAGAGCGGCACAGCTAGTCGACACTCACTCAAGCAATTGAGCGGGGAATTTCGCCAGAAAGCTTTGGCCAGCCAGCATTTGGTTGAGCGCATTTTGTGTGAGCGCTTTTTAGCTTTCGCCATTGTTGTTGTTGTTTTAGGCGCCGTTACGGCTGCGACGCTGACGCCGGCGCCGCTGCCTGCCTACAGCTGGTGTTCGCTGCGCGCCGCAACGGCACGAGTTTTCCATGTAGGCGACTCGGCCGTGCGACACAGAAGAGTGCGAACATAGCATGAAGTAAGAAGCGCCCCGTATTAAATACCATTGCGAAAGTAAAGTGCACAAAAGTATTAAATAAAAAAAAAAATAAAAAAAAATACCAGCACATACGTACATGCCAGTGTGTGCGTGTGTGTATATGTGTGTGTGTGTGTGTGTGTACATTATATGCCTGAAAACGGACGCTGCGTAACAGAAATAATATACATATAAATACATAAACACACACACACATACACAGACAGATGCACTGCTCGAAAATGAGGCACAACAATAAAACAAAACTAATTCAATTATAAACAATTAAATTGCTGAGCGCTGAGTGCAGCTGCATTGCTCGAATCAACGGCGTCAGCAGCGTCGACAGCGACGGCGACGGCGACGGCGGCGACGGCGGCGGCGGCAACTTTATGTAATCGGCGGCCTGAAAGTGTCAAAGTTCTTCAAAATTTGATTAAAACAGTCAGCAGCAGCGTGTGTTACGTAAAAATATTGAGCGTGTGTCTGTGTGTGTGTGTGGTTCACCTATATGCTCCCTCCTCCCCCACCCATCCGCTCGCCCCAGCCTCATAATGGGCACTTACGTGCACGCTCGCATAAAAGAAACCCTAATAAAGAAATATCGATAAAAACAACACAAAAACATGAACACACACACACACACACACACACATGCTCAAAATAACAAGAAATAACAGTTATATTTGAGACAACGAAGCTTTGATACTCTGCATTTATATAGCAGTTGCTTTGCTTGGGTGAAATCAGCTTGAGAAACAAAAGCTTAATAAAAACTTCAGTCTACGGAACTATATACTTATTAATGTAGTCCGATTCGTAAAGTATCTTAATTTTTGACCGATTGTTCCTATGTTAAACCTGTGATATCATGGTCGCGCTAATGATAGGGTTTCGTCTAAGTAACTTATGTTAATGTAAGTCCCAATTTTTTTAAAGAACTCTGCATTTTTGATAGATGCTTTTCGATATGTAGGTACTCTCTGATTGTTATCATCAACCTAACTTGAAATATTATATAAAAGATTCAAGAAAAAATCTGATCAAATCATAATACGCTTATAAATGTGCTCTTAGCCAGGTTTTATCAACAATATGATCAGATCATAGGGAAAATGGCAAAAAATATAATTAAAGTGTTGCAAGACTCATAAATATTAAAAAAATAGTTTTCTTTTATTAAGAAAAGTAATTAATTAATAATTTTAGATGCTTGGCTAATATTTGGCTCTGTTAATGGAAAAGTTGGGAAATTGGGAGGAAAGGCGAACAGTAAGGTTGCTTTTATCCTATATATATAGACCAGCCCGTCTCATATTTCATAACAACATGAAAATACACTTTATAAGTGTATTAAAAAAACAATAGAGAAAACACACACACACACAGCGCACACACACAGCGCACACACACAGCTCTGCGCTCAAATTAGCCGCAATGTCAATAGGTTGTTGTGTGCTAGGCAGGGTTCACTGTCGATTGGCGTGACCCTCAATGCACACTCATTAAAATCAATCCTTATCTAATCGACTAGCTGCAGCTCTTTCTCTTTCTTGCGAATAACATTTGAAGCACTTATATAAGCAAACGTTATTTCTTTTTTCTACCCTTCTTTTATCTGTGTTTACTTTGCAGCAACTCTTTCTGTCTGATGCTCGCTCTTCTTTGTGGATTTCTTTAAAAAAAAAACAACAACACAAACAACTTTCAAAAACTTTGCTTCTTCTACAACAACAACAAGAACAACAACAAGAACAAGAACAAGAACTGTTTGCAGCCACAACAAACACACACGCACACACGCACGGCAAAAAAAATCTGAACGGAATATTTACCGAGCAGCAGGTAAGTGAGTGCACACAGATGCCCAGCTAAAAGTATCTGCAAGTAGCTAAAAGTATCTGAAAGTAGCTAAAAGTATCTGCAAGTCGCCAGAAAGTATGCGGCAAGTGCGCTTCAAACGGGGCCCAACTCTCTAAAACTCGCCAAATGCTTGCATAAACTTTGCGCATTTTCACGCGTCAGGTGCCCCAAGACACCTGAGTTCAGCTCCACCTCAATTCACCTAATGACAAGTTTTGATTTTGCCTGAGAAAATGGGCAAAAAGGCGTAGAATGGTTCAGTGTAAATGTATGTAACAGGCACGGGAGAGGGGCGCAGGCATCTCGAAGAAGATTCGATCTCCTTATGCCCCTCTGTGTGAACTAGAAAACTGCAAGAGCGAGAGACTAGACATTGAATACAGATATTCTTCTATAACATAAACAGAACGTATTTTTAAATATTCCTCGATATCTCCCAAGAATTGCATAATATCGATAAATATCGGCATATGCCGTCATCTGCGGCCCTAAAAATGACATCAATTCCGTCTGAGTGAACTAGAAAACTACAGCTGGAGACTTGACACTGAATAAAGACATTCTTAACATAACCTAAATGCATCTCTTAAGAATTCCATCACATCGATAAATATCAATTTTATGGCATGGTTCTTGAGGGTTTACTCGAAGTTCACAAAACTTTCTATGTAGCTAAATGTATAAGGGACATCTTTAAATATTCCACCCAATAATTGTATAGCATCGATAAATATCGATTTGGTGACCTGGTTTTTTAGGCATAGCTCGAAAATTATAAGAGCTAAATACACAAAACTTTCCATGTAGCTAAACGTATGGGATATACACAAATATTTAACCTTTTAAATACCTCCTCTATTCCTCTTCTACATACTTCGCAATTCAGCCCACTTTTAGCTCCGAAGTTAGAAACAAGTTTGCATTTCTTATAGAATGGAACAAAGGGTAGAGGAAGCACAGCTGCTGCATATAGCGCACGACTTTTGTTTAGGGTATCTTCTAGTCGAGCATTCGCTTGCTAGTTTTTTCCATCGATTTGTGTGCACTTAAAAGTAGCCGAGGCAGGAAAAAGGGTTTCCACTTGACAGTCGGATTTGACCAGGCTTACGCAGCGTATACTTAATACAGGTGTTGACCAGCCCCAAGCCCCGCCCCTCACACCACTCTTCTTTGTGAAAGGAACCCTTTGGCGGCGCCATAGAAACGAGCACAACTCAACTTGGCTTATTTGCGTGTTTATTGGCTTTAGCTCTTTTTTATTTCATATCACCCACAAAAACAACTTGAAAGGTAATTGGATACGACGCAAAAGAAATGGGAATTCGCTTTTGTTGGGGCACACCTTGAGAGACGGTAGCGGCAGTCGTTGAAACAGCAGCTGGCCCATCAAATTCTAAACACGAAACCCATAAATTTGCGCCTTTTATTTACATATATTATAGGTCCGGGCCAAAAGCCTTGGCTGGACTTGGCAGAAGGACCCTTCGGTTATGCTACCATGTTCTCGCCAGCCTTTCGCTTCAAAAATTTAACTAAATTTTGTTAAATCCTTTAACTGACAGCTAGCTTGGGCTCTGGGCCGAGCATGCTCGACTAACAACTACCCTACAAGAGCAACCCTACAAGAAATGTCCAAAGCAGAAGAAAAAGAAATTCTCTTAATTTCTTATTTTTGAAAAATATTTTGATTTTTTAATGATAGAATACATTTTTCTACCATAATATATGTCCGTCAATAGTTGAGCTCTGTGCGAGCTTGCTCGACTATTAACTACCCTAGAATAACTGCCAGAAAGTAGATTGCTTTAAAATCTATCAAGGAATTATCTTAGGGTAGAAATCAAACCTCATTCTCCTCGTAGAACACCTTGCTGATGCGGCACAGAGCATGCTTAAAGTGAATTTGATAAACGGAAAATGTGTTTTTCTATTTTATTTTCTTCTTTTTTTTTTGTTATTGTGGATTGCTTGCGGATGGGGCCTGCGGCTGGGCTGGGTTGGGGGTGGGCTTAGCCGAATAAACAATTCTGCTGACGCGTGGCCGCAGGGCGCCTGAAAAGCTGAAAAAAAAAGAAAAATGCTTTGCAGCGGCAGCTTAATTCATTAGCTTGGCACAGGAAACGCCAGCAGGGCCAGGGGAGAGGGGAGAGGGGAGAGGGTAGATGAAACGTACCGCGTCCTGTCCTATACATCCTGCCGATCTGTCAGTCCGACTGTCAGTCTGTCATGCTCGTCTGCTCGTCTCCGCGTCTTCCTGCCCGCCCGCCGGGCGTATGCTTTTTATGTCAAACTAATTTGGCTGCTCGTTTAGCTGGTGTTGTTTTAATTTGCTGCAGCTTTAGCCCCTGCCACGCCCCCGCTTTGGCAACGCCCCGGCTTAAGTTCGTTAGCCCAATTCGAGCAAATATTAATACATGGGCTATAAAGCCGCCGTCGTCGACTGCGACTAGCTGGAAAATGCAAATGGAAATGGGGCGCGTCTCGCTCTTGGCTAAATTTACAAAATTGAAAATTTTCTTATTCTCTCTGCCCGTTTATTTTTTTATTTTTTATTTTTCTCTGCGCCCACATTCATTAGGACATTATTGTGCGGGGCCTCAGCTAATATTAGATTATGTGTACCACCAGGAACAACTGCCTGGTAATTCCAGAAATGTGTGTCCCCCAACTAGAGATGGGCACGAGCCTCGAAATTGGGCTGCCTAAATATGAAAAAAGGCTAGATTGAATGTGGGCTAATATGAATCTCTCTCAGCTTCTTCTTCCTTGTCTTTTCAATTCTTAACTTGAGATTATTATTTATGTTGAATAATTTTTTCTAAATTTACTTTTTGATAATTCACCAATCGATTTTAAATCCTCGACAAAAAATAAAAAAAAGGAATGATAAGGGAATATTTATAAAAATATGTCTAATTAGCTAAGTTGTCCATAGATACGCTTTGTTTGAAGAAGGACATAAACAAATCAAGTCAGTTCTTCGTGCTGATGCAGAATATATATTTCTATATATTTATTTATTTATTTAAGAATATATATTTATATATATGCTTTGCGAAAGCTGGCCTGTTGCATACATATCGTCATTATTTTGAAAAAAATAAGTGTAGTATACTTTTTGGGGCTTGCGTTGGGCTCGGCCAAAAAGCAGTTGCTATGTTGCCTCGGCCTGATTTTTAAGTACATATTTCGTGCTCGTGGTCGAAAATATGGCCCGCGTTCATCTCTGGCACATTAATACACGCACACACACACTCTCACACACACACACACACTGTCACACACAGGCACACGCACAGCTGTAAACTGTCAAGAAGTGCGCTTGGACAGTCGAGGCGGCATTTAAGCTAATCGGCTTAAAGTATCAGGCCGGGGCACAGGTGACAGGCCAACTTGGCGGGCACCCTATGCGTATGGCTAAGAAACGTTGGCGAGGCTGTGGGGCGGTTGCAGGATATTGTCCTGGGCATTGTCCTGTGTTGAGCACATATTAATTTTCTCTCTCTCTCTCTCTCTCTCTCTCTCTCTCTCTCTCTTTCTCTCTCTTGTCTTTTCTTGCAGTTGCGGAGTTGGGCGCAGCGACAGCCGCGAGTGCATTTTCCATAGCAGCAGCCACGCCCACAGAGCCAACCGAAAAAACAAGAAAAAAATAACAACAACAACAACAACAGCGGCAGCAACAAAAAATAAAACAAAATGGCGGCTTTCATTGCGAAACAGATGGTTGGAAACCAATTAAGTGCCGTTAAAGGTAAGTCAAAGACGCGAGCAACCAGTGTTGCACAGCCCCCCCCAAAAAAAAGAGCTCGATGTTATGTATAAATTTTGAGAAAAAAAAAAGAGCCATAACAAGCCAAAGTAAAAGCTAGTTCGAATGAAAAAGTGGCCAAATTTTGTCCCTTTACTATGCATACCTTTTGTTAACTTATAACTAAGCTGCCAGTTACTTAGGAAAATATCTAGTTCAGACGGAAAAATGGGCAGAAAATAGACAAAATAAGGAAGCTGCATAATTTTCAAGAAGCTTTTCCTCTCGAAAAAGTGACCAGAAAGTATAAAATAAGTTTTAGAATAACTAAGCTGTTAGTTACTTTGAATAAAAGCTAGTTCGCTTGGAAAAAGTAGGCAAAAAATAGAATTTTGACTCTCTTTCTATGTATTACTTTTATTTTCGAATAGAAAAAAAAGCTAGTTTAAATAGGAAAAATTGAAGTAGCTTGTATTTGAGCCTTTTTCTATATATAACTTTTATTTTCAAATAGAAATAAGATTTGTTTAAATAGAAAATATGGAAAGGTCGCCAAAGCCAGCATTAAAAAAGATGTGCTTAGCTTAAATAATTATAAATCAAAGCCAAATTTTGCGCTTAGCTTAAGTTCGATATTTGCAATTTTTTTCTCTTAGTGCAAAGTCAGTTAGGTGGCCTAAGCTTGCATTTATTAGATACATATGCAAAGATAGCTAAAAGTCAGAACTCCCATTCCCAGTTTTTACGAAATGTAAGCCGCAAGCGTACTTTTAATAAAAAGCTAGAGCTGGCAAAATATGCACCCATTCCCAGCGCCTGAAAGGTATCTTATGCGATTATGCTCATGCATATATGCCGCACACATATGTACATGCATATATGTATACATGCACACATGTCTGCGTGCATGTATTTTTGGCATGCGCGATCGATAGACATACATAATTCATTTTCAAGCTGCTGCACAGCGCAGCAGAAGGAGGCGAAATTCAAGTAACTGCCACACATGAAAGTGGCTAACGCTTTTAGCTGCCACACACAGCCCCCAACCCTCTCCCACCCTTCCCCTACCCCTAAGCCGCCCCCGCAGCTAGTAGTTGTTGTTGTTATTGTTTAATCGTTGGCTGTGCAATCGCTTGGAAAATCATTGAATGCTTTCAAAAACGTGGCGCTAGAATATTTTATTTAAAACGCTTATCAGCCGGCAACATGCGGCATGCGGCATGTGGCAAGTGGCAAGCATTTACATAGGCACTATGTAGCTGTGGCTAGTATCTAAAGGCATGTATCTATATATATATATATATATGTAGAAGAATCTTTAGGTGTGGCTCGCACAGCTGCTGCCCCAAGGCCCGGCCCGACCCCAGCCGCTTCCTCTTATCGAGTCGCAGAAATTCTGCACGAATGCGTCGTCAAGTGCTTCTAACAAATTGATACAGTTAATTGCGTAGATTGATGCTAAATTTACAGCAGCTCGAGCAACGACTTGCCACACAGAGCCCTAATACCACTTACAGCCAGGCAGCTGGCGGCAGTTCAATCATTAGAAAACCGCCCAACCACTAGCCACATGCCACATGCCACTTGCCACTCGCCACTCGCCACTTGCCACTTGTCAAGCTGTCCGCTGCGGTTGGCTGTGGCATCAAAGTCGACCAGTTGATAGACTGACCGAAAAAAACACGAAAATGCCATTAGCATGAGCATAAAAATTGAGAAATCAAATCGAAATACTTTTTAGATATATATTACAATATAATGCCATATATATATACACAATATAATGCCACATTAAATACGTGCAATGTGCTGCACACGTTTCCCAATTACCCAGATACAAAACTGCTGATACTTTGGCCCCCCCCCCATTCGATCTCTTTGGGCAGCCACTCAAAAATGCACATAAAACTGCGACAAATGTGAGAAAAATGACATAAAAACCAAGTAAAAGTGCTCAAGCCAATGTTGACTGACTACGAGTTACCCTGTAAGCAGCAATGCGAGAAGCGAATGTTTTCATTTTCTTGTGAATTATTAACCAAAAACTTTTCTCCTTGTAATCCAATGGTAAGGAACTTATCGGAACTTTAAGTTGACCTCCAAATGTAATTTTATATCTGGGCAATTTCTCCTACTTTGTCGGACCCTACTTACTAAATTTTGATTTCTCTAGATCTATAACTCTTGACATATGCCAAAAACAAAAAGCCAATCCTACAGAAAATATTCTGGGTTTTACATCTCTTTGAGATGCACAAAGTATTCTTGATGTTGCCAGATTTTGTATCTCTAGCTCTACAAAATAAACAACCTATTCTTGGTCTTGTCAAGTTTGGTGTCTCTAGTCCTATAACCTTCCAGATTTAAGGAAACTGAATATAAATGTTTATCGATTTTTTTAGTCCTTAAAATATATATATTCTTGAGCTTGCCAAATATTGTGCCTGTAAAATATTGTATCTTTAGTTTGTACAGTATCTGAAACTCGGCCTTCTTTCCTGCTCAAGGATATATTTTCTTTATGGCGTCGGAAATGCCTTGCTACGCCAGTTACATAGTCTTTTTTTAACGCATTTTCAATTGCGTAATAAAAGTAAGGAGCAAATCGTAAAATACTTTGGCCAAGGCCAGGCCAGGCCGGGCCGGGCCAATAACTGCAAAACTGAAAACTGTTCAACTGCAAATGACACATTGTTTAGGAATTTAACTTTGGAGCTTGCAAATCTGAGAAGACAAGGTTCAGGAGAGGGTGAGGGTGTGTGTGTGTGTGTGTGTGTGCGAGTGCGTGTGTGTGTGTGGGTTGGCAGCTAATGCGTTTCCATTGTCGACTCGCCGCTCTGAATCGGAAAATTTATTTGAGCTGCTGTCGTGTTAGCCTTTATTGCTATTGCCCGTCTTATGCGAGAATAATATATATGGATTTGTCGGGATGGGGGAAGGGGCTCGGTAATAAATGTTTCAGACGTGCAGACAGTCAGCGAATGAATTATGGCTCACAATTAACTTGCAAGTATTTGCAAAGAAACTATTTTTCAATATGTATTAATAATGTTAGGCAGCAGCGAGCTGTTTTAGATGGCTATTTAAATAAGCTCAGATTCTTGCCCTCTTTAACCTCCTTCGCAGCTTTAACTTGTTGCGAATTATAAGCTCAAACTCTTTTATTTCTGTCTCTAATTAAATATTATTTGTTCTTTTTTTACAGGTAAGCGTTTTGTTTGTGAAACTAGCCCCAAATTTCGACAAAGTTCGTAAGTTTTTATGCAGCTTCACATATTTATAAATAAGTTTATGACAAATACCATATCGAACATTATTACATATTCGGCACAAATTGCGTTTATAATTTGAGCTTGTCTTTCAGTTTTGAATGGAGCAACAGAACATTTTTGATTGATTGGCCGAAACGCATGTACGCAAAGAAAAGCGATTTGAAAATGATTAGAAATTTAATTTAGTCTCGTTCAAAATTGAAATTAACTGAAGCAACAACTAACATAAATAATATTTAATATTTAACTAACTTGTAAGTCTAGCGTTGCACTTGAAAAAAATATACACTTTGTTTTTTTCTTTCGAACTCATGCTCCACATAAATCATTTAGCTCCCATTAGCTAGAATCCTGCCCATCCATAAATCCATTTGATAAATACGTATTCTTATATTATATAACTTGATTGTACTCTATTTAAGCTTAAGTGCACACACAAATCATTAAAGAGCCCCGTTAACCAGACAAGAATATCAAATAATATGTACATATTTGTACGCTCCTCCTCAGTACCTATTCACAGCCGAACTTTACCTCATTGTAAAACACACACCAAACACAAGAGCTTGACAAACACCAAAAACACCAGAAACAGCAAAATAAAAAACTCAAAACTCACACTCTCACACGCTCTCAAAACGATACCCAAGTGCACAGCAATCCTTAGAAATTTTCATGCACTTCACACAAAGAAAAAAAAAAACAAATAATAAAATATACAACAATGCCCCAAAAACACTCTACAGTCCACGCCCACGCCCACGCCCAGCAACAAAGAACACAGCTGCCTTTATAAGAAAAAAATATAAAGAATGTGAAAAAACATACACAATTCAATTTCTTCTATTACAATATCTTCCTGCCTACCCTCGATACGGTTATGTCCTTACTTCCTTTCCCTTATTTTCATTTTTTGGTTAATGCTACTTCTTATATATATATTTTGCCCACACTGATATTAACGAGAATGTCACGCAGTGCCACGCCGATAAAGTGAAATACAAACGGAAATTCGGTGCTTGCATCGATATTCATTTTCTTAACACTGAAACCCACTTGATATGCCTTTTCCAACACACACGGGGTAGTTATCGATAGCTAGATTGAGCATTCATCGATTTTCTTAAGTTTCCAACACTGAAACATCCTTTTGAACTTCAAACTTTCCAACAATGTAAGACCCTAAATACGGTTTCCAACATATACACGCTAGTTATCGACAGCTAAATTGGGTATTCATCGGTACGCTTTCCAACACTGTAACATTCAAAATATACACACATAACTTACGTTAGCTAAATATTAAAATGCATTTATCGATCCTTTTTTACTTCAAATTTCCAACCCTGAAACATAATTTATCTATACTACATAATGTACCTTGCCTTTTTTCAACTACACTCTTGTCTCTCTCTTTCTCTCTCTCTCTCCCTCACTTCCACATATTTTTCCAACTTTCCAACACTGAAACATCCTTTAACAATACTACTCAATATACCTTGCCCAACACGCACACAATTATTTAACTTGCTTTCTATCAGCTATAATGCATTTTTCAACACCTCTCTTGTTCTCTCTCTCTCTCACTCTCTCTCTCTCTCTCTCTCTCTCTGATATATATCCACTTTAATCGCATTTTCCCACGAATCGCCTAACGCATATATCATAAAAGAGTAGCCAACTACTAACTATACTTTCTCTATATAATACAAACAAATGAAAGAGTTTGAGTGGCGTATTAATGGAAACTTTACCTTTACTCTCCCCCCCGCCCCCTTTACAAACACCCCTTCGACGACACACGCTAAACAGATGCTGCAGGCGGTAATACTTACCTAAAATATATAATACTATATATAATATATATAATCTCGTTTCTTTGCATTTCCTAATCAACTTTTGTATGACCATACGCATTTTTAATTCGACTCTTGCGAAATTCCAAATTGAAATCAGAATTCGTACAAATCGTACTCAAATTATGATATATCTATATATATATATACATATATATATATATATATGTATATATACATGCTCTGATTGGGCTTTATGGCCTTTTGGTTTTTACTTAACGAACTCATAATTATTTCTTACTTAATATAGTTATTTTTCTTGCTGCACCCTTTCCCCCCTCTCGAAAACCAAACTCAGCAAAAGTTTGCACCAGAAAAACAAACAAAAAAAAATATATATGAAAGAGCTTTCAGTACCGTTAAATATGCATAAGCAAACTTTTGCGTACGAAGCTTTTGCTGTCAACATCAAATTGAATAAAACTTTAAGCTGCAACTAACTTGAAGATTATACAGAAAATGCGCTCGCAAAAAAATATACAAATTTTCATTTGAGTTTTAGTTTTCTATTAATTTGAATTTGATTAGTCGCAAAACAAAATTCTGTTCCTCCTTATTCCACGATATATTTAGAAAATTAAAAATTCCCAGCATCTGTACAATATACAATTTATGATTATGAGATTTGACGAACTATAAAAAAGTTTTGCATAGTTAGCATTGCGTTGAGTTTTTCCAAGATTTTTCCGTTTTCAGTTTGGCTATTAAAATGAAAACATTTACAACCTATACGATTATTTGTTTTTGCATACAAATAAATTTTAGTATCTTTGCGAGTTACTTGATTTATGCTCTTTGATTTTTGGTTCTTAACAAACTGCTTCTATAACTACTTCTACTTCTACTTCTACTTCTACTTCTGCTCTAACTACTACTAACTCTTCTACTAATACTACTACAACAACAACAACAATGAAAAACTACAACTTTCGTACTCTACTCTCTACTACTATTACTAAAAATAAAACCATATATGGAACCATACTAACTACAAAACAACTTACATCTTCTACTACCTTCTACTACTATAAAAAACTACTCTTAACTACAACTACTACAACAACTACAACTAATATACAACGTATTTACAATGAGGTAAAGTATAAGTAAATATTATTGCTATGTATATAAACACAACAACAATCTTATCTATATACCATATGCTATCTGTTCTATCTATCTATCTACTCTACCATACGATTGTGCTGTAAAACTCCACCCAAAATCGAAACCCGCGGCCCGACACTTAAGTTAGCTAAACCTGTCAATAACACACATGCTGAATGTCCTTCACAAATGTAAAAACAAAAGTTTCCTAGTCGGGTCTGCCCGACTGGAGGGAACCCTGAACCCTGTGTACACTCTATAGTAAATATATTCTTGAATAACTTCGGTTCTTACAATCCGATTTTTATGAAACTTTCAGGGCTATTAAATATGACACTAAAATGTGTGTAAATACCAATGCGACAGGCTCTAGCTTTTAAAATGATTTCGTTTTTAAATATTAAGTGAAAGGGGAGGGGTTTTTTTGAAAGTGAAGTATTCATAAGCTGTTTACAATATGTGAGATTCTACAAACCCGGTTTGGTAATTTTAAATGCTAAAATCTTCGAGTAAGGCTTAAGACAGCTCTTCTCAAAATCGATATTTATCGATAATATGAAAAAGAGAAGAGATATCGAGGAAAAAAATGTGCATTTTGTATAGAAAAAATGTATATTAAAACCTTCAAGTCTGTTTCTTTGAAGTGAGACGAACTTGGTTGATTGTCCTACTTAAGTATACATATGTATATATCTGCCTTATATTATCGTATAAACCTCCCTCTGGCTATTACATACATTTGCCCGCATTTTGCCCCGTCTACTCGGCCCCTGCGGAAAACAATTCTCTCAACATTCTCTCAAGCCCGCATTTACAGTATTCTCCAATTCGCATTTTGATGAGCAAACATTTTGACACATGCGGCACATGCCACTTGCAGGGGGCAAGACAAAGCCATCTACATGACAGATACAGCTACAGTTACAGACACAGATACAGATACAGATACAGATACATGTGCAGATACAGATACATTTACAGCTACAGATACAGCTACATCTGCTGCTGTCCACAACATGTGCAATTGATGTACTTGGCCCCCAAATGCAAATGTCGCTCACTTTGGCAAATTCTCAATTGTCTGACAACATGTGCTATGACAATTGGAACTTAACTCGAGCTGCGGTTAACGCGAAAATTACATTTTCCAGCTCACTTTTCTTCTTTTTTTTTTAATACAAATATAGAGCAATAGAGTCTTATGCTCCAATAATTGAGAGCTTAAAGAAGGTTGCATTTAGTTTAAAGTATCTTTCGGATGAATCATATTTCAAGTTGATTAATTCGATTAATCTATCTCCTCCTCTCCTCCTGCCAAAATTCAGTTCTATTTTCCCAATAGCTAGCCTTTGAAAGTCCTCCAGTGCCCAACTTCTAGAGTCCCAAATAAATTCCAGCTAACAGATATCTGCTTTATATGCTATCTATTATATGAAGAGCCAAAATAGAAATCCAGGAATATGCTCACCTGGTAGAAACCTTCTCCCAACTGGCCCAGCTTTGGCATGGAGCACTTGAATCTAGAGCTTACCTCCAGTTAAGTCGCTTTAAGCACCGCCTGGCCAGGATCTGGCCGACTTTGATTTAAGAAACCTCTGTTAACCAACGGAATGCTCTCTGAGCCTGAGCCTGAGCCTGAGCCGTGCGTGCCAGCACGTCCGCCGGCAGCCGACAGCCGCGCGGCATAACTAATCCTGCGGCCGCAAACGGACCGCAAAACTAAAGGCAAAATGACGCATTTAATGGGTGGAGCGTGAGGTACTCTAAGGAGTTCTCAGTGGGTGCCACATAAATGCTGCATATTAAAAATTCTTGAAATATTTGCGAAAATATTTGCATGCAGTTGATCAGCTGTCAGAGCGTCGGCAGGCGGCAGCATTTTTGTCAAATTTCCAGCATTTGCTGACATGGAAGGCACATTCCTGACATTGACAAGTGCTCGCTGCCGGTGGAGGCTGGGTGGTGCGAGTGGGCGTGGCTTGTAGGCGTGCCAGTCGGCTAACAACTAATTGCTGGCGCTAAAGAAAAAAGGGAGGAGAAAAGAAAAGAATTGAGTGCACAGCCAGCGAAATGGCAATGAGATTTACTTGCGTCATTATGAAGGGCCATAAGACGAGGCAGAGGCAAGTGGCAGGGGCAAGAGGCAGTCAGCCTACTCTGCCACAAGTAAAGGACAACATTTTAACACTTGCACACGCCCATTTTTCGCTTACTTATGCACACGCACGCCAACCCAAAAAGATACAGCAACAGCTCAAAAGATACAGCTACATCAGCTGAAAATACACTCGAAGAAAAACACGTGCAAGAAGCTGCTCAAATCAAGTGCAAACGTGCTAAGCGCAGTACTTAAATAAAAACTATTTTAATTGCATTTAAATTACTTGTTTTGAAGTTCGAAATTCGAAAGCAAGATTTAATTGGATAAATCTTAGATAGAGTGCGATTTATCCTAATTTTCAGCTTGCAGTCTTGCTTTAGGTACTTTTTTTAATACTTAATACAAAAAAGTTTTATGTACTTCCAATTAAGAAACATATTTTATGTCCGAAGTTCCTAAAGAGAATCCCAAGAGTTGAATACTCTCAAATTGAGTATTGAGTATGATTCTTATGCTAATTTTCAGCATGTAATTTCTTGCTTTAAGTACGTTTTTAAGCACGCAATTTCGAAGTTGAGCTAAGTGCAGAAGTCAATTTGGGAAATATTGAACAACTATTGTGAACTATTTATGCTAAATTCAAATAAGCAAATTCTTATTCTAAGTATTCAGAGTTAGTATTTTAACTTTTTTAAGATATGCGTTAAAATTTGTCAGCAATTCGGGTGTGAAAAAGACTTCAATTGAGCTTGATTAGGGTTTTTTTTAAATGTTGAACATTTTTCTGTTAAAATATCTAAGACAAGAATTCTTTTTTTAAGTACTTTGTGCTTAGTTCACGTATACTGGACCTTTCTTTCTCTGAGTGCACAGCTACAGCTAAAAGATAAAGCTACACGAGTTAAAGATACACGTCGAAAGCAGTGTCAAGGGTGTGTGTGTGCGGGTGTGTGTGTGCGGGTGTGTGTGTGTGTGCGTGGGGCCATAAGTAAATATCCAGGACTCTTTGAGGCTGTTAAAATGTAATTACGCCGGGAATATGGTAGTTGCTATTAGCGACTATGACAATGAAATCATTTGGCTGTGCGGCAAATCTACGAGCAGGGTGTAAAGGGGTGGGGCATGGGCGGTACTGGAAGGCGGGACGGGGCGGCTAGGCAACGTTTCGCAGCTGCTTAAGCCAACATCTACTTAGAGAAGTCGCAGGACAGACCGACAGACAGACAGACCGACAGACCGCCCACTTCCTGTCATTTGTCGACGTCTCCAGCTCTGACCCAGATGCGGATGCACAGCCGGATGGCAGCAGGGGGGGAATGAAGTGGGTAGCGGGTGCGGTGGCGTAACAAAGCTCGGCGGTCTTGAACCGGATTAAGCAAGAAAATAATTTGACGTTCGTGCCTTTTTAGCGAACTCCTTGCAATAAAAAGAAAAAAAAACTAGAACAGAAAAAATTACGCACACACGCGCCGAGAAGTGTGTGCGAAAGGATGAGACACACAAATGACTGTCATTTTATATATATACGTGTGTGTGTGTGTGTGTGTGTGTGTGTGTGTGTGTGTGTGTGTCAGTTGGCAATACAAATGGAAATGGAAGTCTAATGTAGTATGCCCTCAGCGTGCGCGTATTAAGTCGCATAAATGTCAGCAGCCCCCCCAGTTCAGGCCGTCATCCACATACAGATTCATAGGCAAGCCTAAGACAATTACGGGCCTCCTCCTTGACCCCACCCAACCCTCAAGCCAGCGCCTAACGTGTTGGTATTCAAAATAGCATTCGAAGCAATAAAACGCAGCGTGCGACTTACTTATCCGGCCTTTGGATCGTATATCAGACTTATGACTGGGGACCGTTGCCGCACTTAGCGGCAACCCAAAAGGGATGATAGACTATATATGAACAAGGAGAGGAGGGTGCCCAGCCCGGCCGCAGGGCTAGGTATTAAGTACCCTCATTATGGCCAAGACACGCAGCGCAAAAGTAAAGCTTTTAACGCAAGAAAAAAAAATGAAAGCGAGCAAAAAAATAGCAGAAAAAAAATAATAATAATAAGCACAACCAATTTGTGTGCCCAGAGTTAGATTCAAAGTGATTTCTGTTTTTTTTTTTTTCACAAGATTTTCACCATTTTCTTGGGCGGCAGCTGTCAAGAAAATGCTGCATGCAAATTGAAGTTTTCCGAGGTCTTAAAGGTTCTTCGATGGCCAACGGGTTGTCCATTAGAGAATAAATGTAATATGCAAAATAGCCGGCAAAAAAAAAAAAAATAAATAAGGCAGGAAGAAGAATGCGCAAAAAAAGAGCTGCGGAAAATGAAGAAAAGCTGCTAAATAGGGGGGGTTGGGCGTGGCAGCATGCACAAGCGGTGTTAATTATACTGTCACGATAATTATATTACAATAGGCTTGATTAGTTTTTAATTGAGTTGCGACGAGTTCTTAACATGCAATGAACAACTCCAAACTTGAGAGAGTACATACATACACTCAGAGAAAATAAGGCAGGGTTATTGTACAAACAAGTAACTCCCCCTTTGGCGCATGCTTTTATTAAATATCGAAATTTTCAATCAAAAAAAAAATGTAAGACTCAATTTAAAGAGTTTTCACATTTTAATATACCCAGAGAAAATCAACAAAAGTTAGTGTACTTTAATTTATTTTAGTACAAACTTAATTTAAAAAGTATTTTAAAACTAAATACCTTTGAAACTGAAGCATAAAGCGAACAATATCCCATTTATTAAACCCTTTTGCGCGCAGTGCATGCATATAACCAGATATATGTATGTATGTGTGTATGTGTGTATGTGTGTAGAGAGGTGCTCTTAAAACAAGAGTCAGTTGCAGCCACAAATAAAGCAGAGCAGAAGGTGGGCAGCAGCAGAAGCTGGTCCTGAACAACGGAAAGCGCCAAATGGCATAAAAGGAAGTTCATAAAGTTCATAAAGCAAATTACAAAAGTCTCATAAAAGCGCAACAGTACGCAGTCAGGGGTGGGAGGTGGCCTGCTGCTGAGGGTGAATCGGGTATATTTTGCCTTTTGGCTGTAAAACAATTTGACACCATTTTGTTGCGAGGGGGGGGCAAATCAATTTTTATTATAAAATACATTGGACTGATTTAAGAAAACAATAAATGGACAGCTACACAAATCAAGGCGAATACCCTTAAAAAAAAAAGAAGAGAAGAAAAAGTTAATTCACGCAGCTATTCAGCAAATTGATGACTATAAATTCAATTTAATGTGCGTTGCCTTTAGCACAGCAGCAGAGACATGCAGCAGCAGAGGCAGCAGCAGAGGCAGCGGCAGAGGCAGCGGCAGAGATAGCGGCCGTCGCTGTCGCAGTCGACGCAATAGCAGCAGCAAAATGTGGTCAGTAGCCAGCCAGCTAAACCCCTTGGGCAGCGCGCCGCCCCTTTGGCGACTTTTGCAGAAAAGCGCTCAAGAGCAGCGCGTGGGAATTTTCTATTGCGTTTGCGCTGTCACATCGGGAGGCTGTGCAGCAGCAGCATCATTGACGCCAGCCGCGCTGCCCGAGTGCGACAACAATAATTAGAGCGAGACTGCGGCGGCTGCTGCTGCTGCTGCTGCTGCTGCTGTTATCAGACGCAAAGCCAAAGTCTATGCTAGTTATGCGCAGGCGCTGCAAGGCTCACAGTTAACAGTTAACAGGAGTCAACCCCCTGCGCTTGGGTCAACACACACAATGTGGTCCAGCGACAGCGACTGCGACTGCGACGGCGACAGCGACAGCGACAGCGTCAACGACTGCGACGCTTGGGCATAAAAAGCCCAGCGTTTGCTGGTCTGACTCCTACTCCAGCTTTGCACTTCTGCGACTGAAGTTCTCTCAGGCAGCTGACGTAACCGAGTGCGTCGTCGCTTAAAAGTCGGCAACAGTCAAGTCAAGTTCAGTTTTTGTGCGTTCAGTTCGTGTGCGCTCGTGGCCGGGTACGCACTTCGTTTTACCGCTGCACGAGCAAATCGATTTGGTAGACATGGCAACGCAAGCGGACACAAGCACAGCAAACGATGTCAGAGCCGACGAGTCGAAACGAAGTTCGGCACGATGGCAGCGCACGAAGACGAAGACGAAAGCGCAGCGTCAGTGTGTCACAGTTGCAGCAGACGCGCCTGGGCACACAGTGTACAGTGTGGTGCGGTGCGGCAATGCGTTGACGCTTGTAACTGTAACTGGCCAGTCGTAACCACAACGGCAGCGGCAGCGGTGGCTGCATTTAACGTAGTCGCGTGTTTCCAACAAAAAGCCAGCAGCACGGAGAGATAGCATTGGCCTAAAAGCGTCACGAAATCATGAATTTCATTGGTATGCAAAACAACAAAAAAACATAAAAAAAAAACAGTTAAACCGAAAGGAAGAGAAGTTTTTAAATGTTATTTTCGGTGTTGTGTGCACTTTAATTTCATTTTCAACTCTTTCGCTCAAAACTCTCTCTCTCTCTTTATCTCTCTGTCTGTAACGCTCTCTTTCCTAAAAAAAAAAAAAAACAACTGTAACTGAATACTCTCTGCTAAATGTAAGTCACAAAAACTAACAAATATTTTTTTTTCTTATTTCATTTTATACATATACAGACACTGTAAACGTAAGCATATGCTGAAGAGCACACAAAATCAATCATACAGCCCCCTCCCACCCTACCCTACTCGTCTTGCCATTTGTTTACAATGCGGGTTAAATATATTGATTTTTAGGCATGCTGATGAAAAAAGTTCAAGGTTGAAATTCTGACAACTTTTTCAGTCTGTTTCACATTTCAATCCATTTATTATGCATTCAAGTTGACTACAGGCCAATGTCCAAGTTTTCCACGTTTCCTTTTCTCTTCACATTTTTTTTTTTTTTCTTGTCACGCGTTTGCAGCGAGCGGGCAGCGCTGCTGCTGCGCGTAGAGCGCATCGCCTGGCCGACAGCTGAAGGCCTCGCTGAACTCGGGCGTGTTACGCAAGAGCGCGTGCTGCAGCTGCCGCTTGCGCTCCTGCTGCCCTGGCAGCCCCTCGCGCGGGCACTCCACCAGCAGGCTGCCCACAAAGTACAGCCGCTGCAGCGTCAACTGCAGCCGGCCGACGGTCAGCTGCGGATTCAAACTGGCGACTGCGGCCTGTTGTCCCGTTAGCCACAGCTTGTAGCAGCTGCCCGCCAGGCGCTGCGCCCACATGCTGAGCAGCAGCTCGTGGGCGTTGGTGTTGCTGCCCGCTTGGCTGCAGTTCTGGAACTGGGCAAATTGCTGCTCCGAGTCGGAGCTGCGCCAGGCGCCGGGCGTGCGACTGCTGCTGCCGGCGGCCACCAGATGACGCCCCAAGCGCTCCGACAGCAGCACATAGTTGAGCGGCGCGCTTAGGCTCTGCTGCTGCTTGGCCAGCAGCCCGTTAATTGTCTCGAAGATCTGCGCGTATTGGCGCAGCTGCAGCGCCGCGGCGCTGGGCGGCTGGCGGCTGTGCTGGAAGCGCCGCAGCTTCTCCATGTTGCGATAGAAGCTGCGCCGGCCCAGCTGCAGCGGCTGGTAGGCGGCATCCAGGCGCGCGTCTCCGTTGAGCAGCACGTGCATCAGCTGGCTGAGAAAACGCTGCGAGCCCTGCTCGGAGATCTCGTCGATCCACACGCTGCCCGACAGCTGCTCCTTGTAGGCCCGACCCATCGCCGCGTACATGTGCGTCAGCTGCACCCGATCCGAGCTCAGGCGCTGCAGCAGATGCGCATAGACGTCGCCGGCATAGGCCTCAGCCAGCTGCTGGCAGTCGGCGGCAGAGATGTCTGCAAGGCAGAAAACAATAATACGTTTGACAATTTGAGTCGGGCAGCACCGTCCGTGCAATACTCTGTTAGCATGCCAAAACTTATATACATAGAGAAAATGCTTGCAGAAATGTGAGAAGAAATGAGAAAAGAAACTAATCGTTGGCCCAATTGTTTCTAAGGAGCATAAGATATAGTTGTCCGATATTGATATGAAGTGTCTTATATGTGTCTAAAATGTCTATAATGTCGAATATGTAATTACAATTATATATAACTGTAATTAGTAAGTAATTAGAAGTAATTGAAACTGAGAGACTAGAGGCAAGCCAGAAAGATAGACAGAAAAGAGTTTTCTTAGTTTTCTTAGTGACTCTTCAACTGTCGCCCCCTCACCGTGACTTGTAAACTTCGTGCCCCGAGTGTTAGGAATGTCTTCAGCATTTACTTAATTAAGGTGTCAAGCGAGAGACAGACTGACAGACAAACGGACAGACTGACAGGAAATAAGATAGACAGACAGACAAACGAATAGATGAAGAATCTTGCCCGTTCACGTCGCGTATGAGTAATGTGTTCGCATATTACGTATACGCAGCTATCAGATAATTTAGAAGACAGACAATAACAAAGACAGACAGACGGACACACTGCTGCTAGCACTAAGGCAATAATACCCAATTCGTTTTGCGAACAGAGTATTAAGAATCTTCGCATATTACGTATACGCGCCCATGAGATTATCTAGAAGAAGTCAGATGATAGCCCAAATTGCATCGTTTTTAAACAGACTATTAAGAATCTGACCCGTTCACGTCGCGTATGAGCAATGTTTTCACATATTACGTATACGCACCCATCAGGTTATCGGGAAAAAGACAAAAATACAAACAGACAGACAGACGGACACATTTCTGATAGCACTAAGGCAATATGCCCCTGTTCTACTTGGGAACAGAGTATTAAGAATTTTGCACGACGCGAATGTGCTAAAATATTACGTATACGCACCCATCAGATAATCAATCCAAATCCAGTTGAGCAGGCGATGCATGCTAGTATTTTGGAGCAGCTGCATGTAGTCGACGAGGCGTGGCAGCTGCTTGACGACAATCGCATCCGTCGGCTGCAGCGTCTTGCCGCCGAGCAGCCGCCGAAAGTAGCCGTCCCAGTCGAGGCGCGACATCGAAATGTTGCCAATGGTCGAGCGCTTGAAGTTGGCATAGCTGAACTGCACCTGGTCGTCGATGCGTTCGGTTTTGATAATGTCGCGACGACTGCGCTCGAGGCTGAGCACCTCCAGCGCGGCGACATGGGCGCGACTCTGTTCCACGCCAAAGCTCTGGAGCAGCTCGCCCACACGCTGCTCGAACTTGCGCAACGTGTGCCGCCTGGTCAGATCCGGCTGCAGTGTGACCAGCCGCTGATTCGACTGCATGCTGATGCTGCTCTCGAAAAAGTATGGCGCACCCATCTCATGGAACTGGCCCAGCAATGCCAGCCAGCCCAGCGCCGTCCGATTGCTGCCGGCGTCCAGAACGGGCCAGCCGCCGCTGCTTCTGTACAGGAGCGAGGACTTGAGCGAGTCCACGGTGCGCGTGTTCTCGCAGGACTTGTAAAAGTTCAATAGCTGCCGCTCCATGTCCAGCAGCTGGATGGGATTGGCTGCGCGCAACAGCTGCTGGAAGCGCTGCTGTTCCTGCTGGCGGCGCAGCGTTTGATTCCCATTCGCGCTACGCCCGCAGACATAGCCATAAAAGTCCTGACAGGGCGAACGCGTTTTGTCCAGCAGCTGCTCCAGCTGCTCGCCAAAGCGCAGCACATCGTTGTCCGGGCTGTTGCCGCAAGCGGCATGCAACAACCACAACACGAGAAAGAATAGTTGCACAGACATTTGCTGCCTCGACCGGCTGCCACTAGCTTCAAGCTGAGAATGGCTATGGCCAACTGTTAATGTAGCTGTCACTGTAACTGACCCTGGTCACACTTTGAGGTCAAAGCGTTTGAAAGGTCGCATCGAATGCAAATCACCGGAAATTGCCCACAATTCCACTTCCGCAGCGAAGTCTTTTGTGGCACGTTTGTGCGTCGCGTCGCGTCGCGTCGCTTTCAATGCTGCCGCCCAACTAATCGCGTTTCCACTGGCAGCCCGATTAGCCCCAGCTATCAGTGGCAACCCAGACCAGCCGCAACCCCAGAGACCAGACTACACTTGGCAAAAATTCCAAGTACTCTTTATTCTTAAATTAATATAGCAAAAATGTTGATACTAAAAACAAGCATAAAATGTTCTTAGCAAGCGTACATTTCATAGGTTATGTATTTAGAAATCTACAAAAAGTTGTTCCCAGTCAATTAAATTTAAGGTCCCAAATATTTACTTCAAGAATTTACATGCTTAAAACAAGCAAGCAAATAATCTAAATTCAACTATGACTGAAAAAAACTTCTTGTGACGAGAATTTCGTTCTCAGTTTAAGAAATCTTAAGCTTAAGCACAGCATACTTATTTAAATAAGTAACATACTTAAAATACGCAGGAAATGTTCTCAACTGAAATGTAATTCGACATTTCGAAGAAAATCTGCTTAAATCGCAAACTTTGTTGTCGAATTTGGCTGGATTCTGACAACAAGTGCAAACGCACTTGATTTAAGTAGAAAAACTTGAAGTTTTTAATTTGCAGTGTAGAGCCAAGTAGTTGTTACAATCTATGAATCAGAGTCAAAATGTCAAGCTAAAATTGGTCATGACCGATTTTGATTGGACTAGATCAGCAGACATAATCAGCTGCGTTATAGTGTATACTGTACAGTAAACACACATAAAATAAACTCAGCATAATTATACTAAAACCGATTTCTTTGCATCTTTGTGCAGGCGCTGTAGGAGGCGATGGTGGCGATGATGGCGACGACAAGGAAAAGGCAGAGGAGGAGGAGAGAGAGCGCCAAGAGGCCATACGCGAGGCCGAGGAGCGGCGCAAGGAGAAGCACCGAAAGATGGAGGAGGAGCGCGAAAAGATGAGACAGGACATACGTGACAAGGTAAGCAAAATTCAATGCGATTCGATTAAGATCCAGGCCAAGTGCGACGCGTGAATTCCTGCCGCAGTTCAAATTGACTCTAGTAGGGAGTCCTTTCACGAGCGACTCCCTAACGGAGTCAGATTGAATTACAAAGGACCCAGACAACGAGTAAAAATGTGCCAAGTGACAAAGTGTTAAACAAGTGAATAAATGGACAATATGCGATTTAAGCTGTACAGTGAAAGCTCGCTTTAGCGAACAGTTGAGGTAGTTCTTCAAGAAATAGAAAATGAAAAGCAAGAATGTAAATCTAAGAAAACCCTTTTTGGTATATTCTTCCTACCTCATGAATTTCTGAATTTGAGCCAGCGAACTGCCGCTTGCTGGTTCAACGCTCAGGCAAAGAAATAACCCAGAGCAATTTTCTAATTTTTGCTAACATTTTATTTACAAGTCCGGCTATATATAAATATTCCAAATTCGAATTGATTTTCCGCTCTGCCGCCAGAAGATTGGAGTTCAAGCATTCGCTGTCCGTTATTAGAGCTTTCACTGTATAAACACACACACACACACACACACACACAATACAGAAACACACAGACACTCAGACAGACACTCAGATATATACAATTTGCATATGGCACTCGGCCAAACACTCTTACAGTACAACATCAAGAAAAAGGAGGAAATTGTCGAGGCAATGCCACAGGAGGAGCCAAATCCGTTGATGCGAAAAAAGAAGACGCCCGAGGAGCTGGCCGCCGAGGCCGAGCAGGAGGAGCTCGACGATTTTACAAGTAAGTCAGAGATGTTTCAATTTACAAAATCCGGCCCCGTCTATATGTAGCACTCGTACTCAAATGTATCTATGTATATGTATATACTATCTTCAACTGGTCTTTAAACTAGAAATATGCTAATCTATATAATATTAAATTCACCAAGTCGCGGCTAAACTGCTCTCGCTCTCTCTCTCCCTAGTAACTGTGTGTAACTGTATGAGCACTCTCTTGCTCTCTCGCTCTCTTGTTTTTGATGTATTTTTGTACTATTTATTATTTTTATGTATTCAAAAATGTTTTTTTCAAGCGGCTGTCAACAAAACCAACAACAAAATACAACAATAAAAAACAACACAAAAAAAGAAAATAAAAAACAATAAACACCACGGCGCTTGAAAGTAGTATGTGTGTGTGTGTGTGTCTGTGTGTGTGTGTGTGAGTATCTATGTGTCGTTATCTATCTACTCGTGCTCGTAAAACTATATAGCTACTGTCAAGCTATCTCTATCTCTCTCTAATACTACCTACTAATTACTACTACTATATATGTATCTGTACTATGTTTCCTGTGCGTATGTAAGCTCTAAACTAATCGTATCTACTAACTAAACTCTAAAACTATCAACTAATCAAACTTTAAAGCAACGAATGAACAATCTCTATCAAGTGTGCACTCCATTCTCTCTTTCTCTCGCTCTCTCGCTCTCGCTCTCTTTCTCTCTCTCTCTCTCATTTAATTGATTTAGTTTTCATTCTGTTTTGAATCATCTCGTTTTATTTCTTCTCGAGTATTTCATTCGGTTTATCCTTTTTTAAATGGTATATACCTATATCTATAAGAAATATGTGTTGTATTCGAAACTGGGTTGCAAATCGAATAAATTAATTAATTGATGTTAGTGTAGACAATTGAAAGATTGTCGTCTTTGTACTTAGGTTTAATATTAGACTAAGGTAAGTGCGAAAATTCATTAAAAATATTTCTGTGTGTGGTAAACTAATTGCAAGCTCTTGCATTTGTAATTCATCTTTTACACCCGACTCACTCTCTATCTCTCTCTCTCTCGCTCTATCTCGCTCTCTCTCTCTCTCGCTCGCTCTCTCTATCAAACTATCTGTCAAACTCTATTGAGAAACCCTTTGTCAGATTGAATACAATACTCAAGTGTTTCCGTAAAACTCACAACATATACAAATATGAAGAAGAAAAAAACACACACACGAGTCCAGTACGAAAATAAAAGATATTAGATTAGGGGTATGCCCGTAACGAGGCTGGGTTTAGAGTTGAGGTCTGGTAGTTATAGTTATTCGATTATACTTACATTATATTTCTATTTTTTACAAACGAAACTTTGTTTATCCTTTAACAACATCAAAAACTCACCAACTGCACTCTAACTAACTTATAAATAGAACTTTATATGATTTCTCTTAAAACTAAAACCAAACTTAAAATAAAACCAACAAACTTTATTTCCATGGCTTGTGCGCTCGAATTACATTTGAAAACTAAACACGCATAACAAAAAGAAAAAAAAAAAAAAACTAAATATCCAAACTGAACTTGATGAAAACTTTTCGCTAATTGTGTTTTATGCTAACAAAACGTAATCAAAACATAAATAAACTTAGTAAAACCAAAAGAAAAACAAAACAAAAACAAATATCGTATCTATCAACTTTTTCCCTCTTGCAATTGTTTATTCTCTTTCTCCTTTAATCCGTATGTAGTATATGTATTTAACATAATGCTATGTGAAATATATATAATGCATATGCCGTCTATGTATGTGTATTTCTCTCCACTCTCTTCACACGCACAACTCCCACGCCATCTATCCTATCGCTATCACACTCACACGACTAACTGTGACTCTCTCTTACGCTCTCTCTCACTCTCACTCTCTCTCTCTCTCTCTCCCTCTACTTTTGTCTATCTGTTAATTACATGAGTACTTTCTGTTACACTGTTAATTACATGAGTACTCGACACGATTACATTACAGACTCTGATTACGTTATATATATGCTACACTAATTGCAATTATGATTTGGCAAGCAGAAATATAAGCATTTAATTTATTAAAACTCCCGCCCGCCTCCACCTGCGTCCCCGACTCTACACCTGCTGCATTGCATTTTGAGTGATGTCTCTTTGATTCCAAGCATAAATATACTTATACCTATTTTCATTTAGACCAATTATATATATGATTATATGGCTACCGTACAGTTAACAGTTGCACTCAAATACGTTACGCGACGTCCCGTTGCGCTATGTTAGTTAACATGAGCATCCATTAAAAAATGAAAAAAAAAAATACATATACATATACCAGTTGAACATACATAACATTTGTAGTCTACTCTACAAAATATGCTTATTTATTGCTGTTTCCATACTCAATTTCTTTTTACAGAACTGAAAAATCAAATAGAAACGCAAGTAAATGAGCTAAAAACTCAAATAGAGGGAAAATGTGTCATGCAGTGATATGTCAGTCATCATAAATGATATATAAAATAATAATAACCATAATAATATCCGAATTCAAAAATAATAACTGAGTTAACCAAAAAAAAAACCGATCAAATGCAATTGATTTAAATCACACTCAACTTCAATTTGTTGCTATTAATATAAAGTTGCAAGCAAAGAAGCAAAAAACAAACAAATATTATGTTCGAAACGTTCTGCATAATATGGAAAAAGCATAAACTAATATTCTATTTACCATACTTATAAACCCGACTCCTAATTCGGCAGCAATAAATCAACCAAAGAATATATAAAACGCCGCAATAATTGAGGTTATGTGAAGCATAAGGATTATATACTATTATTATATCATAACAATTAAAACAATTAAAACGAAAGCCAATAATAAAACAAATAGCATAATAATAATAATAAAAACGATGCAAATTCAATGAAAATTAAACATATGTATGTATGAAAACAGGACGGTGAAATCCTATTGAATTTTAAAGTAGTTAAAGCATAAACCAAATTATGTATAAACGAAATATAGTAAACGCCTTTAATAATATTCAAATCACTTTTGCTTCGATGATAATGTAATATACTCAAAGCCCCAAAAAAAAAGAAAAAAAATGAAAAAAAAAAAAAAGAAAATGCATAACCGTTGTTTAGTTGATAGCATTGCGAAATTTACGATAACGATAACGATAAAGAGTTCGAGATCGAATTCGAAATCGAAACTAAAAAAAAACTGCGATTGGTGCGACAGAGACAGAAACAGAAACAGATTTAATGGAGGTGTTGCTGAACCATGTCGAACCGTCGAAATACGTTGCTGAAAATCTCTTTTTTGGACTTTAATAACACACACACACAAAAATACCTATCTATATACCCGAAAGGATTTATCTGGATACCAAGCTCTATAATACGATACACTAGCCTATTATATATATATAAATATATATATATAAAACAAACGCCAGCTTCTTCTATTGTTGATATATTTCCGACACGAATTCAAGCTAAATTTTCCCCAATGTGAATATTCGCTAACAAAATTGACTGCAGAGATGGTAAAAAACAAACAAAAAAAACCTCATCGTTGGTACTCGAAACGATTTAACCAAAAGACAAAAACAAAACCAAAATTAAATTTAACTCAATTACTCACGATCCGTTTGTTTATTAAGCTCAAGAGATATTTTTCCTAACAGCTGTAACATTTTGTTTCTTTCCTATACAAAAAAAATATTAAAAAAAAAACAAAACAAAATACACAACACAACAATTGAGACATTCTAAGCTATTTGAGATACTTACTGAACATACTGATTGATGCTTCTGAAATGTAAGTAAACCCCCAAAATATACCTAAATCTAAATACTAAATCTATATACATTAAACCTTACAATACTTGAGTTTCAGTTTCCTTAATTACATGAAATATATATATATACTTATATTTGTTAAGTTCACAATTATACAGTAGGCAATAAAGTTTAACTAAAAAAAAAAAAATGAAAAAATACCGAAAGTGAAAGTATATAAACTTAGATAATACTTTATATTGTAGCCAATTAGCCGAAGGACAATAGTTCGTAAGAAAACGCTAGGCAGTTCGAGAGCATATTGCTGTGATACATTTAGCATACATTTTTGCCACGCCCCCCGCCCCCCCTAAAATGCAGACATAAACAAACCAAAAAAATACCGAAACGCATATGCATGCTTTAAAGTGCAGAGAAAAATACTCCTCGAAATACTAACAGACATACAATACGTAATGCCATAATACATACAAAACCAAGGATCAAAAGACGGAACCCTCAAACAAATACTATATATATGTATAAATATATATATACTATATATATATATATAGATATAACTCTGTTGTCTGCTCCGACTTTGTAAAGTTGTCAAGGGTAGGTACTCGCCTACATCCATTATATACCCACAAAACATATGCCACTTCTGATTGTATATATAATACGATGTTTCACCAAACAACATGAAAATAAAAAAAGTACACTTCACCTGGTACAGAATGCAATATTGTATGCATGAATGTACAGATATCAACCTATATATATATATACAGACAGTTGCACAGATACGAGTCGAATTTATCTCAATTATATTTAATGATTGTATGTGAAATTATATCGTATATCGTGTATCGTTGGTCTATCGTTTATCGATTACTCGATCACTCGTATGTATGCTAACAATATATAACTATATATATCACACCTTTCTGTACCAACATGCCCTTTCCAAACATTGTGCTCAAAATCCGTCTTTACATCCGCCTGTAGTATGCCTTATAGAGATAACCAAAAATATAAGAAAAATTAATATTATATATATACATATAAAATTTTATTATTAAACAGAAACATTTGGAAAGGACATTTCAACTTCGGCTAGTCGAAGTTCGAAGTTTTTTTCGTTTATTATTATTTTTATATTACCTACTTATCCAATATATATAAATATATATATAAATACATATGAATAAATGTTTTAATCACACTGCATTCTCTATATCTCTCTCTCTCTCTTTCTCTGGTGTCTTTCTCTCTCTTTCTCTCTCTTCTTTTGATTTGAAACACTCTTTTGAATCTTTAATCTGCGCCACTTCTACTACTACTACTACTCTGCCTAAAAATACAACAACAACAACAACAACACGAAACAACAACAACAACAACTCTACCAAAATCTTCACCCCAACAACTACGACTCGCTGGTCTCTTTCAGACATATGTACTCTCGGTGTTTAATATGATATACCACTCGTATCATCATCAACAACAACAACAACAACAGCACAAGAAAACAACAACAACAACCAGTACAAGTACAACAACAACAACAACCTACATCTACTACAGAAGTAACCTTATATTAACTATATATTATAAAGAAAAACCATTTTTTAAAACAGAACCAACAAAAAATACCAACAAAATACCAAAAAATTACCAACAAAATACCACACCATTATTTCTAAACGTTGTGTAAATTTTCATTTACTTCCTTTGCATAGTTCACAGTCACAGTCCCACAGACACACACACACTCACGAAATACACACACACCCACACCCACACACACACATACACACATCATATAGTCACATGCATTTAAATAGCCAAGAAATATGGTGTTGTAAATGTTAAAAGTTATGTACAGTTCCAACAAAAATAAAATACCAAAAAAATAAATGTACAATTTACATATTACAGTAAATACCATATAGTGAATATAGCTAATATATATATATATATACATATATATATATATACACAAATATATATATAGATGGTATGATATATCACAACAGTATCATAATGAACAATCAACATTAATACAAAACAATATTAAACAGAAAACCAAAAAAAGAAAAATACCGAGAATTTATATTATGTCCCTGCCTGAATGCCACAGGCTTTCAGTGAACCAATACTTTGTGTGTTGCTCAACACTGTTTCGCTCAACATAGGCTTTGAGTGTTGTTCAACACTGCTGAATTTTCATCTTCTGACTTACAGAAAATTCAAAAAATAACCAAGAAATTATACTATGTCCTTTTCTGAACGACACGCACTTTCTTATACCTATCTTTTCCGTGTTTTTCAACACAGTTTCACTTGCAACAGGCTTTCACTTTACCAATATTTTGTGTGTTGTTCAACACTGTTTCACTTAAATCTTCTGATTAACGGCAACAAAAGAACTAACTAGTTTCGGGCTGCATTCACGCCAATCTCAATCTCTGTCAATCTAATAAAGCAATTCCCTAGTGCCCCCCGTCGCTCCGGACAAGAAATGTCGGGAACGATCGAACGATTGAATGCCTTACAGTGGCTCCTATGAAAAGCGCATAGATACTATATCCGAAGGAAGCTTAAGATCTTTAACTTCAAACTACTTACTGCAACTACTACGCCTAGAGCCTAGCCTAATGCTAACTACTATTCTACTCTAAATACATATAAATATATATATATATATATACAGATATATGTATATATATATATAAGTATATTTTCCCCAAAAAGCAACAGATTTTACTAGTTTTACCGAACCTAAGTCTTATGCTCTTTCCAATTCTTAGCTCTTAAATCTAAACGAGAAAATGCTTTCTACTTAACATACTTACATATAGCGAAATGTTTAACTAGATTCTATAAAGGAAATATCTCTATTGCGTTCTTTCAAAAACATATATATATGATATTGAAGTTCACTTTAATTGTTTACGAAATAAAAACCAAAAAAGGAAAAAAACGAATCAAGCATTCAAAATACAAGAAAAAACTTATACAAAAAAAAATATATATACAACACATATTATTCAATCATAACGAAAGAATTTTAACGTAAATCATAAATGTTAAAGACGAAAAAAAAAATGTTAAAAATGGTTCAGATGAATTTTTTTGTTTTGACGTTTAATATTACATATATATAGTTATGATAATGTATGTATATGTATATCGGAAAGTTTATAGCAAGCAGATTATTATTGAATATATTTAATTAAATATATGCATATGCATGCCTATATATACATGCATATATACACACACACACACACACACGCACACACATACACAGACACACATGACATTATATAAATATATATATGTATATATAGCTATGCATATGTGTAACCAAATAGGGAAATGAATTTAAACAAAACATCAAACAAAAAAGAACAAATTATAAAAAAAAAATAATGTTGAAAATTATACCATTCAAGTCATTATTAGATGTGAAAGCAGTTCTATACACAGCAAAACCAAGAAACAAAAACAAAAACCAAAAAAAAAAAAAAAAAAGAAAAGAAAAACGAAAACGAAAAACCAATTTAATAAAAAAAAAAAACGTTAATAGTTGATTAATTATATTGTTACTTTGAACATTTGATTAAAAAGAAAAAAAAAAAAAACAAAAACCGAAATGAATAATAAAAAAAAAATGATATATATGTATAAATATATACTCATATGAGAAAAAAAAAACACAAATAATACAATGGGTTTTTCTTGATTCCTGGGCAAGCAGCTCTCTCTCTCTCTCTCTCTCTCTCTCTCTGTCATATGTACAACCAATACACTCTCTCTCTCTCTCTCTCTCCTTCTCTCTCTCTTTCTCTCTGTGATACTACGTATAGCGAACTTGATTTGGCATGACTGTTAGTCTAAATGTTTCTAAAACTTCTATGTGTCTCTCTCTCTCTCTATCTAACTGTCTATCTATCTCTCTCTCTCTCTCTCTCCTTTCCTCTTTCCTGTTTCATTTGCCCTCTTCCTTTCCCTTCTATCTAACTGATTAAGCGCAGGTGCTGCTGTCTATCGTCTATCCTAACTATTCTAACGCTAAGTATACCTACTCTTAAATGGAATGTGCTGCGTTTTCTACTAAGTATTAAGCACATATTCGTACAACATGCAAATGATAAACAACAAACAATAAAAAACGCATCTCTGCATCTGCATCTACTACATCTGAGCCGCAGCTCAGATACACAGATCCACACACAATTCTCCCCCCGGGGTAAAGGTGAGTTATGTGTAGCTTCTTGAAGTCCGTTTATAGCAAAGCTCTCGATAGACACGCTCGTAAGTATTTAGGTGTTTCTTTATTTTCTCTTTCTTTTCCCTTAACATTTTCCCACTTAATGCATTTTTCCGTTGTGCTGTTCGATGTCAACTCACAAGCACCTGAACCAGACCAGGTAGGTGCCCCCCTCTCCCTCACATCTATGTCGTGCCGCACAGCTCACAACCACAACACGAACCGACGACAAAGTTGCCAAGCCACAGCTAAATTGAAAAAATAAATACTTTCCACAAAAAAAAAAAAAAAAAAGAAAAGAAAATGCAAATCCCTTAGGATAAATTTGTCCTGTGTGTCCTCTAGCAAAGTGCTGAAGTAACAAAACAAAAGCAATCAAAACTCGCAACAAATTTAACTCTTTCATTTCGATACCCTTGCAAAGGGTACTATACTTTTGTCGTGGATTATGTAACTCATAGAGCAACATATCCTAATGTATTATATATATTCCTTGTCTATGAATTCCTACTTAATTAAAGGCTTATATATAGCCCGACTTCTATATCACATAGTTTCTTTTAATGAATATTTTAGGGAATATTTCTCAATTTTTCAAAATCTCCAAGCTTAACCAGCTTCTTAACTAAACAAGCCATAAAGGATTTCTTCCTGGTTCCATTCATCTGAGCCGAATCTTATCAATATCGGGAATAGTTTTTCTTTTTTTACAAGATCTTCAAAATCAACAAGTTTCTTAACTCAACTAGGTATTCCAAGTTCCATTCATCACCATTTCGGACTACTTTATTATGTGAAAGGAGTTTTTATAAGAAATTACTGTTTACATTCTTCAAAATCTCCAAGCTCAACAAGTTTCTAAACTAGGCATTAAATAAATTTCTACCAGGTTCCATTCAACTGAGCAAAATCTTATCATTTTCGTACTACTTTATCATATCCAAAGAATGTTTATAGGGAATATTTGATCTAACCTCACAATATGCGCAGCCAGTCTGCAAGGGTATTCGTCTTCGGCTTGCCGAAAATGTACTTGTAATTCTTGTTTCTTATACTTTTTCTTTTTTCATTTCTTTCCTTTTTCAACTTTTTATTTACCTGTCACTTTCGTAGGCAATTTTACTAAGTTGTAAAAAGTTTGTGTACTTTGGTTGCAGGTGCAAAAAAAAGCAACAAAAATAAAAAAAACAAAACTGATTTATTTGCGTTTTGTACTTTCAGCGAAATTGAAAAAACGGCTCAGCGACGCCTTCAAGAATTGCCCACTGAGAAACCTGTTTTGAACCCCACGAAGAGCGGCCCACAAAATTGCATATAATTTCGGTTTCAAGCTGCCAGCTATATATATATATATACATATATATATATATATATATATATACAACCCGACTACGAACAGCCTTTTTTTCGTAGCGCCCATTTTCAGAACTTCACGCAAGACTTTCTACATGGTGACTATAACTCTTGTCTGAACTAGGTATATATATACATATATATATCTATATATATAGTGACATATCCATAGTCGCACCCACCCTTTAACATAACTTAGCACATAAGCATAAGCACAATTATAAACATTTCTAATATTGTAAACAAAGAGCCTGGTGATAACATCGACATTGGTCAAGATCAAACTGTCCCCCTTTGGTAGACATAAACAATTCACCCTAAATATCACGCCACTGTCAATGTTCCCATCAGAGTACTATCCCACGCATAATTGCTGACGCAGCTCAAACTTCACTCAATTTTGACTCAAACTCTCTCAAAGCGAAGTTTGCTAAGCGACCGCAACAGTTAGATAAATCAGTTCATATTCGGGAAGCAAATCTGAATGTACTCAACAAAAGTAGCCGTTAAGTGAAAATAATAAATTGAAATATATTTTTTTATAGTAACCTAACGTGTAAAACTTAATTGGCGCAGCCGGTAGGATACGTCGGGAAAAATTAAAGATCGCTAAAGGATAATTAATTCCCAGATCTAACGCACAATCGCGACCGAAAGTGTTGTCGGAGTGTAATAAAAAATTTTCTCGAATACGTATCCGCACAAGAACCTTCGGGTCATTAGTAGCTTAATAATATTGACCCTTTGGGCAATAAAGCTACTACAGTTAATAACGACTGGCTTTGCATATCGTTTGATCCCTGCAATACGTTATTACTGAGTCTTTTTAAGACACACACACAAAAAAAAAAAAAACATTTACACAATAATCCATCACAAACTTTAACTTAAAATAAAAGTGCAAAATCAAAGAACAATAAAGTTCAAACCTACAAACTCAAAACTATTCAAAAAAAAGTGTATTACACCAAGATGACAATGGAATTATCAGAACAACACCTCAACCAGGCCCTTTCACAACTTAGACAGGTGCCAAGCTTTGACGGATCAACGGATCAACTAAACGCCTTCATTAAAAGGATAGATTACATCCTACACCTGTATCCAACCCGAGATGTTAGACAACATAGCATCTTATACGGAGCCATCGAATTGCAAGTCACAGGAGATGCTCAGAGAATATCACAAAGGACAGCAGCCAACACTTGGCAGGAGCTGAGAAACGCATTGATTGAAGAATACAAAGTGCAGACACCATTTGAAGAACTCCTTCGACGCTTATACAACACGAATTACCAAGGAAACGTCCGTAAGTTCATCGAGGAGCTCGAGAATAAATCTTTTGTTATTTTAAATAAGTTAGCACTAGAAAATATACCTAGCAATACAACCCTTTATACAAATGCTATGAATAACACAATCAAAGATGTTATTACAAAAAAATTACCAGATAGGCTTTTCATGATGTTAGCCAGACACGACATTACGTCGACACAAAAACTAAAGCAAGTAGCTCAAAGAGAGGGATTATATGAAAATAGCGTTACTGAAAAACCTAAAAATAATAATGTTCAGGGAAATCCAAATAACAATCGTAGGAACATGGGAAATTATCAGCAAAATGCTAACCCAACCACCATTTCAAGTGGCTATTCCAACACGAATCAGAGTTATCACGCACAAAATAAACAGCATAATAAGTCCGAAGACAATCAGAAAGCTCACCACGAGTTCCAACAGAAATTAAGTCAAGGTAGATACCAAAATCCCTTAAACTACCAAAATCAGTCCCATTCACGCTTGAATGCACCAAACCCTCCGACTAAACGTCAAAGAGATAGTAACAGTGGGCAGATGAAAATGGATACATCCGAAAATTTTCATCAGCAAGCCTCGGAACAAACAGAAGAAATCCATTCATAAAATTGATTATGAATGACGAAGTTCTAAAATGTGTCATCGACACAGGTTCAACCATAAATCTAATGAAAACAAACCGCTTAAATTTTCCAGTTTACAACGAAACATTAAAGGTTCACACCATAAATGGTGTTATTGAATTAAAACAAAGTATACGATTAGGAGCAAGCAAAATTTGTCCGAGCAAACAAAAATTCTATATTCACGACTTCTCAGAGCATTATGATGTTCTGATTGGGAGAGAATACCTTGAGGCATGTCAAGCAAAAATAGACTATGCACAAGGATCCGTAACCTTAGGAGAATTTAACTTTTGTTTTAGATATAACGACGAAGAGGTCGAAGAGGACATGACCGCACAAGAGTGCCTTGATCCACCCTCAACAGAGGACAGACCATTTAACTTCGCTATAAATAATGAATTAATAGAAAACAATGAGTTTAGGCTAGAGCACCTAAACTCAGAAGAAAAAGAAAAAATAAAAAAAGTTTTACATGAATTTCGTGATATCCAGTACCATGAAGGTGACAATTTGACTTTCACTAGTACAATTAAACA